GACAGCTGAGTTGATTGATGCTTTAAATTCTGTTTCAACACCAACCAGAAAAAATTTACAGTAACTTGTGAAACCCTAAGAAGGCACCTTCCGTGACCTGCTCTCCCAGACCAAGGAGGCCACCTTAGCAACAACCCTCTCAGGCTCCCGCCTCCTACAGGCTAGGATAACAGACAGCCTTGGGTGAGATGGACAAACATTTAGAGTTAGGCTCTTCAAAGTGGTCTGTATTCCAGAGAAGAAGACTTATTTGTCCTGTCCAAGTTTCACTTTGAGGTTGGTCTGGAAGGGATAATTTTTCTTTATCCAGTAGGATCTGGAACACCCGAAACTCCACTGCTCCCTCAAGAGAGAACGAGATGGAAACAACTGAGAAAGAGGAAGAAGAAGGGGCATGGGTCTGGGGAAAGGGAGGGCAAATGTGCAGGAGACCATTGAGACAGGTGGTGGGCTGGGAGGGACCAGAGAGGAGCAACACCCAATACACATCCTGACTCAAGGGGAAAAGTAAAGGACTTCTTGCACCACCTCTGCCCTCTGCGTGCCCTGTGTCTGTGAACATTTTATTTCTGGTGGTGAACTGTTCCTTCTTGTCCTTCCAAGTTTTAAGGGCATAGCTAAGAGGTTGCATCTCCAATGTGCACGGCACGCTTCTACGACAACGTGCTCTTCTTTGCACAAGAAGATAGTGCTACTTATTCATCCTCACGGGACATGCTGTTTTCTATTCACAGGGATAGTTTGACACTAATCCTGCCACTCCGTTTCCTTGGTCTCCATGGTGACCAGCTCTCCCATGTGCAGGCAGCTGGTGGAGGCTGTGGAACAGCTAACTGGCCAGCACTGGGAAGGAGCCTGTGACCTCCACCTCACGGACTGAAAACTCAACCATCAACAGAGTGTGGGCTTGAGTCACTCGGAGCCAGTAGTGAGGGCTCCAGCACTTACTAGCTGGGAAAGTCATCCAGGTTACATGTCTTCACTCAATTTTTTATCCATAAAATGGGAATAATAATTGCCCTTGCATGGTGTTTTTGAGAAGATTTAAAGAGTTAAAGTGTGTAAAACATTTATATCAGTAACTAAATAATAGACACTCTGGCACAACCAGCCAAAAAACCAACCAAACAAACAAATGAAAATGGTGCCGTTCCTTCAGATGTAATTCTTACAGGTGTCAGCCTGGGCCAGGAAGAGGAACAGCTGGCTACACTCTGGGCATTAAGCAGCGGCCTGAAGCAAAGCCTCCTTCACATCAGTGTGCGTGGATAGGCGTGAAGGTGTTTATGGAAAGCCTTACACAAAATATAATCAGTCTCTCTCTCTCTCTCTCTCTCTCTCTCCCTTTCTCTCTCCTGTTGCACCCCAGAGAATCCTGAGACTGTTTCTGTTTGGAAAATCTTTTGTCCAACTCCTAGTTTGAGCCAGAGTTTAAACCTACCTCTTCATTTCTGCTCTTCCAGTCTACCTCTGATAAACTGTTTTTCCTTTCAAATGAGGTGTTTGTCTATCATACTATGTCACTGTCAGAGACCTGAAACATAACCATACCCTTTTACCAGTTGGTGGATAGCCTGGCCTTCATTCTTCATTTCTTTAATCATGTTAAAGTTTTCCCTACTATGATACATTTCACAAGACTTTCAGGGAATGCTAAGAAGCTTTCTCTGCAGAGATAAAAATAATGACACGAGTCATTTCCTTTTTGTTGCTCTTTGAATTCCCATATAAAGCTGTCTGCCGAGTATACCTTGCCTGGTCTAGCAAGCATGCTTGCTTAACATGGTTTAATGCTGGTGGCATTAGTCACTGTTAATTGCTCAAGAGCTGAGATCAGGTAGGCAACCACTGAGTTCATTTGCAAAAAAAAAAAAGATGACTGTAGTCATGTGAGGAAATAAAAGACTCTACGGCTAATGAATGACAAAAGTTTTTTTCAAAAGAATTGAGAGTATTGCATAGTAACATACACTGATCCAGAGCTCTGAAAATGCCAGAGGGCAGAAGTTTGGTGTTCTTAATTGTTTTACTTTACCCTACAACTTGTTTTCCCATGTATGAGTTTCTTTTTTTAAAATCTTTTAATAGAATCTGTCCTACTCCAAATTCTCTGCTTTTTTGATTTTTAAATAGAATTTGTGGTTTGAATTAAACCCCACTTTTCGGAAATTGACCTTATCTAAAAAAGGTTTTTCTACAGATTTTTTCCTACACTGGCATTCACTTAGACAGAAGAGAGAAAAGGAGGCACACGGATATTTTGGAGGTAAGTACCTCTTTTAGGATAACCCTCTCTCTTTGCTGGGGGACTTTGGCTAGGGGTGCACTCTCTGGAGGAAGCAAAACTCTGGAAGTAAGTTTCCGGAACTCAGGGCATTAGACAATTATGCTTTAACCTACATCCAGGGCATCTGACCTTCCAATTTTGTACTTTGCCAACTGCAAGGCAAAACTGCTCAAATCTGCTGAGTTGTCATGACAGACAGGGCCATATGGAAAGTGCTGGAAAAATTTCTTCTTAGACTATAATTGCCTTGATGGGCAGAAACTCCATCTTCTATTCAGCTGTGGAGTGTGCATGGCCCACAGAGCTTGAGGAAGTGTTCAGGGTTTCTCGTCCAAGGCTTCAAAGCAAAATTAAAATGGGGCATTGAGAACACTCTACTTGCCTGGAGGAGCCGATTATATTTTATTTCATTTTATGTATACGCTCATGTTCCTTAATCCCTGAATACATAATGTGTACACAGGTTGATGATATAAACAAAACAAAACAAAATCGAGAAACGGTGATGTGGTTGACTTGTGGTCATGCAGGTGACGTTGCCTAGGATGCGTTGCTCCCGTCTAATTGAGCATCTGGGCGCCCTAGAGAGTATCTGAGCGTGGAAGTCAGCAAGACTCTGTAGCATCACGGTTTAGGGTCAAAGTCTGGAACTAAACAGCCCAGGTTTGAATTCTGCTCCACAATTTCTTAACATCCCTGTGTTGCAGCTTTCCCATCTGTAAAACCACTACAATAATTGTACCTAACTCACCAAATTGTGATGAGAATTAAATAAATTAATACAGACACATTTAAAAGTGCTTCAGATGGCGTCTCACACATAGTAAACACTTTGTAACTCATATTGTAATTATTATGATTTAAAATTTTTATTATCATTAGGAATCCAGGGCACTTCCCTGGTGGCACAGTGGTTGAGAGTCCGCCTGCCGATGCAGGGGACACGGGTTCGTGCCCCGGTCCGGGACGATCCCACATGCCGCGGAGCAGCTGGGCCCGTGAGCCATGGCCGCTGAGCCTGCGCGTCCGGGGCCTGTGCTCCGCAGCGGGAGAGGCCGCAACAGTGAGAGGCCCGCCTACAGAAAAAAAAAAAAAAAATCCACGATTTTGTGCCATTGCACACGGTTCTCCATAATCAAAACAGTTGATTGCAAATTTAGCAAATCCTCTCTCTGTCTCCTTCTTTTTCTTTCGCTCCCTTCCTCTCTCCCCCTCTCTGTTTCCTTTTCTCTTTTACTCTCTTCATCTAGCGCTCTGGCTTTATATCCACATTGTGATACTTGATATTGCCAGCCTTCCCTATGTCCTGTTTTTAATGGCAGTGATGTGGGCAGAAGGGAGTTGTCCTGGGGAGAATGGCAGGGCTGTGCCGTCCACATCCCAAGGATGAGAAGGCGATGCTTCAGTTGCTAGGGGCCCCCACTCCATGCCTCCTCCCACGCCCATGCAGAGGAAGGAACAGTTTTCTGCGTGAGGGTTGCCTTCATGTTGGAAGGGGATGGTTGATGGTGTTATTTTTGTTCCCCACAAATGTGAATGTTTAAAATAGTGCTTTATTCAATCGGCATAAGTGACACATAGACTATGTATAGTGGTGGAATTGGGCCTGGCAGACCATGAGGGCCAGATCTCACCAAACCAAGAGTCGTGGTTCTCCATGGATAGCAGCCAAGGGATCTGCTCTGGGGATGGCCAGTACAGAACCCCCATTTGGGTTGCCTGGCAAATTCATTTACACAACTAATGAACTGTCTGAAATGGAAGGATCTCAGAGCCAGTGAACTGGGATTTGGGCTTCGTTGCCACGGGGCATGCCAGTGGGTCACATTTCCTCTCTGAACCTCCCTCCAAGCCGCACTGTACTCAGGAAGGGTAAGCGTATTCGTTGTTCTTCTGTGCCTTTTGACTTGGTGCCCTGCAGGTCTGGAATTCAGCCAGTGTAACTGACCCGTGAGGCTGCAGCCCAGGCTATATTTAAGTGGAGGTTTATTGTCTTGCCACGGTTTTAGAAGTTTAAGGAACTTGCTTGAGGTGGTAGGGATTTGAAGTCGTGTCACTTTTAACCCATGTGCTCCTTTTTAGTGACTATAATTAAAAGTTTATTTGAAGTGTTAAGTTCTAAGTCTTTAAAAATTGCCCCTGTACACTTCGAGTGCACAGTAAAGATTCTAGAAGGATTTCTTCCTATTTTTAAACAAACAGATTACGTTTCGTAAAGTAGGACTTTGGGGAAGGAAGGACAGAGTGTTTTATTCCTGTGAAAAGTTTTATTACCAGAACTTGATTGATTTGAGATGAAAGAGAAAGGAAATGCATAGATTTTGAGACAAACTTAAAGCTACCATATGTTCAAGGGAGATTTTGAAGTCTTTCAGAGCTGTCCTTAATTGATTTAAAATGCAATGCTGAATTTGGGTTTTATTTAAGAACAAGGGGGAAAAAAACATCTAATCAGACTTGGGAGTGAAAGATGACAGTCAGTAAAGAACAATTTCTTACTTGCTAGACATCCCTGTAATAGATTACATAGGACATTTGGTTGATTTCAGTTAGAACCCACATGCCTCCTCCACCCCCAACACTCTCTCTTCATCTTAGAGCCTCTTCTCTCTACCCTCAAGTGTGGTTTCCATATGACTAGGGAATAGACACTAAAAATATTTCTGGAATGACGTGACCCACTCTTACCCCATCCAGGAAAGGAACAAGGCTTCACAAGAAACAGCACATGCTTTCCTTTCATTTCTGGGAGTCCCGGGGTCGGCCTACAGATGCTGCTCCTTCCGTGGCCGATGGCATTCAGACTCCTAGCTGCCGATGGTGCCAGGCAAACAACTGGACAGAACAGCTCAGCTACGGGAAGCTGGCCACGGTCTCGGCCGGAGCCGCAGCCCCCTGGCCACAGACCACCTCTGCCGCCCCATCCAGGAGCCTTCCTTCCTCCCTCAGCCTCGCCCGAGCCCCGCCACAGGGGCTGAAGAACCGGAAGCTGGTGGCAGCCGCGGCAGTGGTGCCTATAGCCTTGGGGCCAATCCAGGCACGTGGGACCCTGCTTCGGGCTACTCTGCAGCCCCTCCAGGGCCAGGGAGGGGCCCGGGACCGCCCCGGTGCTCCCCATTGTCTTCTCCTGTCACTGAAACCTAGGCGAGGGCTCAGAATGGAAGGCGCCCCTCCTGAGCTGAATCTGCAGGCCAGACCGAAGGAGGTCAGGGAGGGGGTGAGCGGAGCTCAAGATCGCCAGGAGCTCAAGCAGCAGCTGCGGCCACTTCTCAAGCCATCGGCCTCCTCGCAGCGAGAAGAGAAATATGTGGAGATGCGCACTTCAGCTGGAGTGCAGAGGGACAGTCCCCGGACCATGAGACTTACTCTGGAGCAGCGCCCGGGGGATCAGAGGGGCTCTAGCAGCCCCAAGGAGAAAGCCCAAGACGAAGCCGGCAGCCAAGAGTGTGAGGCTCCAGCCCCCCAGAAGAATCCTGCCTCCCTGGAAGCCTCCGGACCCCAGTTCTCCGGCACTGATGAGGGCAGCAGCCTCTCGTCTCCCTCCTCCGCCCTGGTGGACAAAGCAGAGGAAGGTGGCCTTTCCAAGACGGGTGATACCACCACATCCACGGGGGCTCTGGCCACCTCGTCCTCACTGTTAGACTTTGAGAGTGACAGTGGTGAGAACGCAGTGAGCTGCCAGCCCAAGGGAGGAGAAGAAGGGGAAAAACCAGGAGGAGGAGAGAGAACCGAGTGCAGAGACATGATTGCCAAGTCTCAGGGCAGCAGGGACCCCCCCCAGAATCAGGAGGCTCACTACATCACCACCCACGAGATCCAGCTGAGCGAGGTAGAGCAGGACACGGATTTCGACGTGGGCCTGGCCTCCCGCTGGGATTTCGAGGACAACAACGTGATCTACTCATTCGTGGACTATGCTTCCTTTGGTGGCAGCGACGAGACCCCAGAGGACGTCACCACGCCGAGCGAAGAGGACGATGACAACAGCTGCTACCTCAGCACCGCTCCCAGCACCGACGCCACCCGGACACCCAGCCCCACCGACAGTGACCCCGCCCGCCCCAGCGCGGGCAGCAGCGGTGGCGACACCAGCAGCACAGAAGTGGGCAGCGGCCCCTCGGACAGCAACCCCACTCCCCCAGCCACGGGGCCTGGCACTGCCACCCCGTGTGAGCCCTTGCTGCAGCCGCTGGAGGCAGCCTCAGCCGTCGCAAGCAGCTGCGGGAGTGCAGCAGGCCAGATCCTCCTATCAATCAAACCGACTTCCCGGGCTATAAATGAGCCTAGCAACGTGTGTGCAAAGCAAAACATTATTTACGCTGCCAAGCATGAAGGCGACATGAGCCTCCGCGTCTCTACAGCTGCTGAACACAATTCAAGTTCACTGAAGCAAGACCCGGCTGCAGCCGTGGCTCAGGACCATGCGAAGAAATTCATCGCCGTCCCTGCTCGCCTGCAAACGCGGTGCGGGGCCGTCCGGGCGAAGGAGCTGGTGGACTCCTCCAGCGGGGCCTCCAGTGCCGTGAGCGAGCTGGACGACGCCGACAAAGAGGTGCGTAACCTGACCTCCCGGGCCTTCCGGAGCCTCGCTTACCCCTACTTTGAGGCTCTGAACATCAGTTCCCGGGAGTCCTCGTCGCTCTCCGAAGTCGGCTTTGGGCGCTGGTCGGCCTTCCTGGACTTGAAATGCGCAGGCGTTGGAGCCAGGGTGGAACAGAGTCTCCTCAGGAGCAGCGCTGCCTCTATGGCTGCGGGTCTGAGGAAGGGCAGTGGGGCCAGGACGACCGCAGACCAGCTCTACATCCAGTCCAAGAAGTCCCAGACCAAGGCCTTGGAGTTCGTGGTCAGCAAAGTCGAGGGGGAGATCAAACACGTGGAGACACCTCTGTGTTTCCAGAAGCAGGTCCAGTCGGGCTCCCACGTGGTCACCCTTCTCGAGCCTCTGAATTTACGCAGTGAGAGCAAAGCCAGCTCCGCCGCGGGGCCCTGCAGGGCCACCAAAGGCCCCAGCAAGGGCCCCGGGTCAGTGTACACGGATGATGGCTCGGAGACCTCTGAGGGCAGCAGGCTTGCCTCCCGAGCTGACGGCCCCCAGAAGAAGTCCAAGTTTGCTTCCAGTCTGCTCAAAAACGTCATCTCCAAGAAGATGCAGCGGGAACATGAGTTCAAAATGGAGAGGGGAGAAGTCAGTGACACATCCCACCATAACCTCTCCAGCACCTCCAAGGAGACGGAGGGCCCTCCCCCCGGGGGTGAGAAGCAGCGGGAGAAGGGCCTGCAGAGGCAGAGTTCTCGCCACTCGGAGGCCGGCTCTGAGTACACGGTGGTCAGCGTGTCTGATGCAGGTGGGGAGGGGTCCGTAGCTGGGTCTAAATCCCCAGTTTTCAAAGCCAGTGCCCCTCGGGAGAGCCATGCAGGCTCCGGCCGTAATTTCGCCGATGGACCCCCGGTAGAAGTGTGTGAAATTAAAAAGAGTGCATCAGAGACTGTCAAGAGCATCTTCCTCCGTAGTCAGAACAGTGCATTCCGGTCATGGAAGGAGAAGGAAGCTGACAAGCGGGAAGAAAAGGCCCCCATCGGGAAGCTGAAACTCCCCAAAGGGGGCGACTGGAGGGCTGATCTCGGGGAGATCTCTGCCAGTAAGTCCACCATCATGTCTCGCCTCTTTGTCCCCAACATCCAGCAGACACCCAAGGACAAGCAGCCGGGCAAGCAGGCCACCAAGCACCCCGCTGCCCAGGCCACCTCCACAGCAGTGGTCAGGCCCAAGGCTCCCGAGATCAAGATCCGGCTGGGAAGCGTGCAGCAGCCGGGCTCGGACTTCAACATCGCCAAGTTGCTCACACCCAAACTGGCCAGTGGCGGCGCCTCGAACCTCTTCAAGACCACTGAGGACAACAGCAGGGCACAGCAGAAACTCTTCCGGGGGGACAACCTGGAAAAAGTGCCCCAGTTCCAGGTGAGAGATGTCAGGGACAAGTCCAAGGCCCAAGGCCCCCTCCACCAGGTAAGAGATGTCCGGAAACTCATCAAAGCGTCAGGGGACAGCAGTGACAAGGGCAGCGTTACCCCAGAGCAGGGGCTGACCGGACCCAAACCCAGGCCGCTGGCTCCTGCAGCTGGTGGCTCGGAATCCCTGTCCCCCATGGTGATTACATGCCAGGCTGTGGTGAACCAGAGGGAAGACGGCACAGACCGAGAGCCCAGGGAGAACGTGGGCATGGAGGGCAGCAGCAGGGCCTTGAATTCCTCCTCGCCGGAAGGGACAGTCTTGGTTCACAGGGCATCTGGCAGGCTGCCCGTGGCCACCATCGCTCCCAATAAGCCTGAGCAGGGCTCGTACCTGCCCGTGCTCAAGATCGTCTCCAAGGCTCAGAAGACCCCAGAGAAGGCCAAGGAGGAGGAGGTCAAGGAGGAAGGAAGAGGCCCCAAGACATCTCGCAATGCTCTGGAGAAGCTGACGGCGGCTGTGAGGTCCATGGAAGAGCTGTACAGCTTCAACAGGAACGAGTGGAAGCGGAAAAGCGACCCCTTGCCCCTGATGACCGACAGCCACGTCCTGTCGCTCATCGCCAGTGAGGAGAGAGAAGGGGCCGGGGGTGCTGAGCGGGACCCCGACAAGTTGGCCAAACGGGTGGGTGGGGCGGAAGAGCGGGGCGCCGGGCACAAAGGCGCAGGTGTGGTCCTGCGAGGGGGCCCCATAGAGCGTCTGCAGCGGAGGAACTCCAACCCGAGCACCGAGAGTGTGTCCGCCCGCGCGGCCGCCTTTGAGAACCTGGCCAGGGAGAGGCCCCGGTCCCTCTATATCCCCCCGGTGCACAAGGATGTGGACAGAACCCAGCCCCTGCCCCCGCTCCCCAGCCACCGGAACGTGCTCACAGTGAGCGCCAGCAGCACCCAGAAAACTGGGGGTGTCGCTGGCAAGTTCCCACAAGGCCCCGCTGCAGAGAGCCCTTCGGCGGCAAAGGGCATCAAATCGCAGGGACTCCGGTCTCTCAAGATCTCTCCGGCCACTCGGGCATCTCTCGAAGAGGTGACCAACAGGAAGAATGGCAGCCATCTGGAAAAGAGCCACAGCGACTGCGAGAATTACCTGACCATCCCCGTTAAAGGGAGCTCTGCAGCTGGGGAGCTTCCAGGCAGGCCTGGGGCGGGGAGGGAGGCCCCTCCCTCCACAGCCACCACTCTCTGCAGCTTGCCCCCGCTGAGTGCCCGCAGTCAGGTCCCCAGTAGCCCCAAAGGCTCTCAGGTCAGCGGAACCAGCCGGCCAGCTTGGCGCACCAAGCCTGACGACCCCCGGGGCACAGTAGCTGCCCCCGCAGAGCCACAGAGCCCCGAGCATCCCCCCACCACGATCTACCACCAGCAGCTGCTGCCCTTCACCCTCCAGGGGGCCCAGCCCCAGGTCCTCTGCTTCTCCCCACCAGGCATGCCTGCCCCGGCACCTGTGGGCCCAGCTCCGGTCCCCACAGACCCCTTCCAGCAGCCGCAGCCTCCGCAGACCCAGCGCAAGATGCTCCTGGATGTGACAACCGGCCAGTACTATCTGGTGGACACACCAGTACAGCCCATGACCCGGAGACTGTTTGACCCCGAGACGGGGCAGTATGTGGACGTGCCCATGACCTCCCAGCAGCAGGCTGTGGCTCCCATGTCCCTCCCCGGGCCTCCCCTGGCCCTGAGTCCGGGGGCCTACGGCCCCGCCTACATGATCTACCCCGGGTTTCTGCCCACGGTGCTGCCCGCCAATGCCCTGCAGCCCACACCAATTGCTCACACTCCAAGGGGCGCCGAGCTCTCCCCCGTGGCAGCAGAGCCCCCCAGCAAAGAGGCAGCTGCATCTTTCACCGAGGCCCCTTACTTCATGTCCTCCGGTCAGTCTCCCACCTCCTCCTCTGCCCCAGCGGCCACATCCCAGCTGGTGGGGGCCAAGGGCTTTGCCCAGCTGCATGGCAAGCCTGTCATCAGCATCACTTCGCAGCCCCTGGGGCCGCGGATCATCGCCCCCCCCTCCTTTGACGGCACCACCATGAGCTTCGTGGTGGAACACAGATGATGGGCGGCCACCAGAAAGCAGAAGGGCGCAGCTGCTGGTGAGTGGACATCACTTCGATAATCACGTTTAAGGGATTAACAGCAGTCCTATTTCTTTGTGTTTGAAGGGGCAGACTTACAGCAGCGGAGGCTGTCTCTAGAAATGGGCATTTCGGAAGAACAGAGCAAAAACTGCATCCGTATTATTAAGGAGCTAATTTTCTTGCCCACTCCTCAGTCCCACAGCTGGCCTTTCCCCTTTGACCTTTTCAAATTGCCTGAGTGTTTTTCCCACAGTGAGTGGGAGGGAGGTGAACCCTGGATCTCTCAGGTTAGCCTTGGGTGAAGACTGGCAGGGGGAAGCAATAAAAACCCGGTCTGGATTTTGTGGAGTGAGCGAGCTCCACTCTATTCTTAGCAACCCCAGTGACAGGCACGAAAATCCTTGGGGACACCGTTACTCTGGTTACTCCTCAGAGTAAAGAGAGTCAAAGACTGACATTTTCTTGTTAGGAGGTTTTCTAAAATCTACAGAAAGGCTTCTCTCCCTCCACCACATCTTCCTCTTGGAGTTTCTTATACAAAAAGGCTGTATTTTTAAGCTCTTGTTTTTGTTTTCAGACCATCAGAATACTTTTTCTTAGGTGAGTCCAGTCTTTAAGGTATTTTACATACACACACACACACACACACTCGGCTTGACCTCCAGGGGAGGAGGAGATTCTGGGCCTGCAGTGACTCCTGAAATGGAGCTGCTGTGTTTGATCCAGTTCGTTCAGACTGAATCCACTAGGCTCTGCTGCTGATTCCTACAAGGCACTCATTTTCCTATCTGCATTCTCTCCCTTCAGAAAAGAATCAACTCCCCCTTGCCCCCACTAAAGGAAATCAGATGAAGCAGACGTAGATCCTGACACCCAAGTTAATTCAGATTCACTGACAGGAATCCTGGCTGTAACTACAGTCCATGGAACTTGATAGGAAAGGTGAGCTCGGGTTTTCCGAACCAGGACACTTCAGGTCAAAAACATAAGACAGGGGCAACCTTCAGATACAGCACAAAGCTGCCAGCCCTGTGGGGAGAAATTTGCCCTCTCATTCTCCTGTCCTCTTCACATGAGGAAGGGTTGACATCATAAATGCTTCTAAGGAGGTTCACTCCTTGGTAAGATCATACTGAACCTTTATTTTTAGGAGAGGAGCCCTTTCTATGCTTGTATGAAAGAAATAAGCCATTCCTCTCTCTTCTGTGCTTAAAAGAAACAGGAACATTGTTTCTTTCTTCAAGGAAAGAGCCTTAAATTAGGAAGTAGGATCATTAGATCAGAGTCCCAGCGTCTTCTCACCGGCTGTGTGTTCTTAGACATGCAAACTCTCTAGCACACATGACACTCATGTGTCAGTAATCTCTACTCCTCAAAATGTATCTGAATGCCAGATGATACAATAGTGTATTGAAAAATATAAAACCTTTCCAAATTAAGGGATTGTTACTATGCATTACATTTCTTGGACTGCAAGAAATGTAATGCATAGTAACATTTCTTAGGCCACTGTTCAAAAATCCTTGGGTCTTTCTGTAAGAATTCAGGTGAAAGCACAAGCCTCATTTTACTTGCAATCTAGAAACAGATGATTTCCTTTCCAAGAATTTGCAACGGGCCCTATGTAATGACCACAAATACAGAGGGGAGGGAAGATTAAATATAAATAATGTACCTATTGTTCGGTGTAGAAAATAAAGAAATATGCATGTGGAAGAGGGGCAGATTTAGAGAATTCATTTTGTAGAAGGAAAAGAGTAGCCTCTAGATAAAAGCATTTTCATCTTCTGGACAGGTGGGATGTTTACCTACGGCTCTCTGGGAGCAGCTAATCCTGCGAGGCCTTTGTGTGGGCTGTGCAGGTGCAGAGCAAGGGGAAGGGAGGACAGGGCCCAGAGGAGGGAGGAACCGGGCACACGCTCGAATCGTGTCCCTGTAGCAGCTGCCTTTGGCCTTTCTCCTGTCTGATGAGCCTGGAGAGATTAGGCCTGGAGTTGTTTCCATCAGACACAAATACAAATCAGAGTTTTCTGTATGGGAGATTTGAACAGTGATTTCTTTGAAAGCTTTCCCTTCTTTAACCTTTATTTTAGTCCACAGTCCTAAAGATAGAAAGCAAAAGACTAGTCAGGAGCTAGTTATTAGCTTTTTGTGTACAGGCAAAAACCTAATTACCCAAATTCAGATAATAATTGAAATTATTATAAAAATCCTTCAAAACTCACCATCCTGAAAGTTCTATGCCACTTTCCAAAGAAAAGTCAGATACATAAAAAAGAAGTGTATAGTTCTTTTCCTTGTGTGAAAAAAATTTAAACACGGTTCAGATATATCAAAAATTACATTGTACACCCCCATCCATCAGTTGCTGTTCATACGGATGGTCAGTGTGAGAAGGCTTGGAAGCTGTTTTCAGTTTGAGATTTCCTTTGAAAACCAGACTTACTCCAGAGTTTTTCCTTGCGGTAGGGTAGGGTTTTATGTGCCCCTTTTAACTAGAAGTCACATAAATGGTTTGATCCAAGCACGGCATTTCACAGAGAAGAAAACTGGGGCTTAGAAAGAAATGGTTTTGCTGAGGTCCCCAGAGAGTGAGAGAGCCAGGATGGGCCTGGCTCCCAGCTCCTGGACCACACCATGCGCTGTTTGTTTGTTGGTAGGAGGCATGAAAAGCAAGAAGGAGGACAGAGAAGTGCAGTGGATCTGCTCTGCCTCTCCAGACATTTGTGAAATGAATATTTGAACAAAAAGCACTAATTCCATCATTCATTCAACAAACGTGAATTACATGTTTACACTCCGCCAGGCACAGTGTACTCTGCAGTGAGGCTATAAAGCCACACGTGACCTGGTACCGTCCCACAGTCCAGGAGCCAGCTGGAGGACACAGACCATACATGCAGAACTGCAAAACCAGTGTTCAAGTCCTGTCTTAACCTTTAAGATTCCTTCCAGCTCAAATAATAAGTATTTCATCATCTATTTTTAGCTGCACGTTGTAACAGGGAGCCTTTCTTTCTCCCCTGTGTAGATTTGAGCATAGCCAGCTGCTGCTACTCTCGGATTATTCTGTTATGAATTTTCCTCTAGTTTTGCTTTCATAGGTAGGGTCTTCCCTACTTCTCTTCCTCCTGTGGTGAAAATTGCAGTGCTCCTCAAACTTTGCCAGGTCACAACCCATCTCAGAAGATAAGTAGGAATATTACGTATTTTGTTTGTATTTAGTAATGACATCACACATTGTGATAAATGGACCAGGCTGTTCCCAGCCGGTGGTGCAGTGGCCGGAAAGTCACAACAGGAACCCACTGATAACACACCAGTGTGCTGAGCACAACAGTTCAAAACTTCACAACTCTCTCCGTTTTTGTTAGGCCTTTTCTGTTTTAGGCCTTTGTTATTTGTTCATTTTAGTTTTGAAAGTTCCTTCTCCACAGGACCTTTGATGCCTTTTCTGATGAGAGTTTTTTGTTTTCTGTCATTCGAGACATGTAGCTGTATTTTTCCTTCCCTAACATATTCACTTTCATGCTTTCTCCTGCCCAGCCACTTAGATACCATATTTTTGTTTTAAAATTTGAGACTTGATACTAAATACCGTTTACAAGGGCATAAAGATAAATGTGTAAGAATAACAACAGAAAACTTTAATTTGCACCATGCCTGCTACCCAGTGGGTATTACAATTATTTTGTTTCCTTTGAATGTCTATTCTTTTTTCTGTAAAACGTTACCCATTTGTTTCTTCATTTCTGAGTGTGCTTTATGTTGTTCCTGCATCGTTGGTCTTTCTTTTCTTCTCACCCCCTCAGAGTCATTTCTACCCCCTGAGTTAAGTGACCCTTCTTAAGTCACAGTGTCCCTCTGGGGCAGAGTTGGGACTCAAAACCTAAATCATCCCAGACCAGAGTCTATTTTCCATTTGCTTCTTTCTTCCTGCTTCCCAGTCCCCTTCTCTTTTTCTCCCCAGGGCCACTCTTCTTTCTGGTCCTCCATCTTGGGGTCGGGCCCACAGTTTACTTCCCTTCTTTTCTTCCCTTGCCTTTTATTTGAGAATTTACTTTCTGTGCTTTGCTATTTTTTTTTTAATTCCTTATTGTGGTTTCTCCTTTCCCATTCACTTGAAGTTGATTTAGTTTAAAGCCCCACTTTGCTTTTTTCCTTCTCCTCCCTTTTCTGTTTGGAGTCTGTTGTCACCACAGACTGGACAGCTTCAAGGGCAGGCTTGAAGCTGCGGCTCCTTCACCTGCGTTCTCTGCAGCCTTGTGCACGAGGCCAGGTGATGGACGAGGCTGCTGGCTGCAGGCTGCAAGCTCGACATTTCATTTCCAGCTCATCCCATGATTACGTTCTTGAGTCAATTCATTTATATCTATATTTTTCCTAATTTGATTGTGGCTTCCTCTCCTGATTATTATATATAGCTGCTGTTTTATTTTATTATCTTCCTCGTGTCTTTTTTTTTGCCATTTCTTTTCTCCCTTTCTCTTTTCTTGGATGGTAGCTTTCCCCATTCTTATTATTTTGTGCCTTTCTCTACAATTTTATTGCCTTATATTTTCTTCTCAACTCTCTACAAAATTAATAAAAAAATAAAAAGTAATGTGTATTAATCATTTATTATCTACTAAGATTTAACATGGTGCTACTTGATTCTTTAAACGAGTGGGTACTATTCTTATCCCTATTTAACAAATGAAAAAATAACTTGTCCCAGATTAAGAGATCAGCTGAAATCCAGGCCCTTCAAGCTTGGGGGCCCATGCTCTTATTGATGACCCCTAGTTTGTCCACTTTCTCCCTCTCTGCCCTCCCCGTCTCAGTTCCTTGTTGTGAATTGTCCTTCTTCCCTTATTTGGGAAAAAAGAGGGAGGGAATAAGGTAAGAATTTGACCCTGAACCTGGCGATGTCTAGCGTATACTAAGCCTCCGTATGTGTTTTTCTTTTGATTAAAGTTTAGCTCTCCTATGTCCCAAAGAGAAACAGTTCCAGTACTTCTAGGGGCTGTGGCTCCCAGTGTGTGTGTGGTCCGTAATAATTTTGTGTGTATGTGCGGATGGGCGAGTGTGGTCTGTCACCTGAGCGTGGGATCCCACTGGATACTGATGGGCTCATGACTTTCAGTCTAAGAGAAACAGTGTGGCTTTGACTAAAACCCAGGTATCTGCACCATGAAGTCAGGCAGCCCTGGCGCAAAATCTTCCTCCTCTGGACAAGTGACTTGCCCTCTCTGGACCTCAGTTTCCTCAACTGTAAAATGGGGATACCTCTCAGGAACGTCGTGAAGATTGAATGGTAAAATCACTGCAAAGGATGTGGCACAAAGTCCATGGCATGTAGTAAGAGTTCTATCTCCCTTGGAGACTAGAAGCTCGTCAATGCCTCAGAAGCCCCTCATCTCTCAGGGCCCTCCACCAAGGCAGAAAGTCAGCCTTTATTCCTGTAGACTCTCAGGACAGCACCAGGGACCCGTACCCAGGATTGCTTGATATTTCCCCAAACCAGAGGTCATGCCCACAGCTCTGCAGTCCCCTTTGGGCTGCCTGATCCCCTGGGTCAGGCCAGTTGGCTGTGGTCGGGGTCCTCTAGTATGCCCCACGGCTTTCCAGCATGTTACACAACTCTGGGCATAGTTGGCCAGCTGCATGTGGTGATTTTCCTCTCAGTCTGGGCACAGACCTCTGTGGAGCAAAGGAAAATCTGACCCAACATCCCTGCTGAACTCTGTCATGTGTTCCGGTCCTAAAATCATGGGAAGTCATCCAGGCCAAACTGCCCGGTGACACAGTGCAGTCACTCCTCTCCCTTTACTGACTTCTTCGTGACCCTCTGCTAGGTTGAACCGGCAATTTTTATTATTTCATCCTTAATAGGAATTGGAGCATTTTCTTACTTTCAAAGTTTCAAACAAAATTCCTCGAAAGTTAATGTAAGCGGAAGCAGTATCCTGCCAAAGAATGAAAAGGCCGTGTCTGGACTGTGGATCCCCGAAAATGACCCCAGCAGCTGGTAGAAACAGATTTCTCCTCCATTCCTCAGACTGCTCTCCCCATCCTGTACTGTTTTCTCTCTCTCCCTCTCTCTCTCTCTCTCTCTCTCACTGTTTGTCTCTCTCTCTCTCTGTCCCCCTTCTGCTCAGAGAGTCCTTGCAAACCTTGCTTCGCGATGGAATTCAGCTCGAGTTGTCACTAGATCCTTGCATCCACATTAAAACTTTTCTTCTTAGTCTATTTTCTTCTCCTCCCCCTTGTAATTATATATTTTTTTCCTGTTGCTACTCCGTGTGTCCTAAGGTAAAAAAAACTTTTAAACTTCTTTAGCAAATGAGAAGTTTCCAAACCCACAACTGTCCCTTTCCTCTTGAAAGTCATTTCTCGGTATAAAACACAAAAGAGTAAAATCAACAAACTTGAAATACATACACATGAGCTATTCTCTAAACCCATAATTATTCTTATAGACTTCTTTTTCCTTAAGTATATACTTAACACAGGTCAGTTTCTAGAGGGCAGGATTAAAATATCCTTTGCCACAGTACTCTGCATATAATTGATTAGATAGCTGTTATTTGATACTTCTTAGAAGTTACTTTTCACATGATAGTCTTCTAATCCCTAACAAATACTACCTGTAGGCCACTCTGTTTCTGTCTTCATAATATTACGTTCAAATATCAACTCCCAAAGGTTAATTTAAAAATGTTTTTTAGGCAAAGTTCTAATAGATATATAGAGAGAAAGAGATTAACAGAAAGAAAGGGCTAATTTTCAGTAAGCTTTTGAACATGTCAATGCTTGTCTTAGAATGGATTTAACTAAGTTATAGGCTCTAACCAGTATATCTCATTTTAAACAAAATGCGCAATATGAAGTTCCACATAATTTAAGTAGTGACCATTCACTTTAGAGTATAGAGTTTATTCATTTAACTAGATTAATAACTCATGGTAAATTTCAAATGTTTCAATTTAGTTTAAATATCATTTTTGTATATTTTAGGAACATATCGGTTATACTATTTTATCTCTGTTATGGATGGTTTCAGTAAAACTAAATATTTAACTTTAAAATAATTTTTGAATGGTTGACTGTATTTAATTCAAGTTTCAAAGAGAGGGTTCCACGAGGCAATTTCTTAAAGTCAGTAGGATGTGTCTAGTAGGTTCAGAAACACACTCAACCAAACACATTTTAAAATGTGAACTTCATCATTATTCACACTGAAATTAGCCAAATAGTTAAATAAAATGTATTTTGTCATTTTTCTTCCTTCTTTAAGAGCGAGATTTACTAACAATCTTTTCCTTGATTATGTTTGTTTATAGGAGTAAGACAGAAAGATGGACGAATCTTCTTGAATCGGAAGGCTGCAGTGTAACAGCACTGAGAAGTTATCTGGAAACCTTCCTCTACATATGTTATTCTTAGTTTTTGCTTCTATAAACCAAGTGTGTAAGTTCCTATATTTTTCTGAGTAACCCTGTTAAGACAGCTTGTGTTCTTTTAGTTTTACAAAGCTGATTGAATGGTTGCATTTTTCCTGTATAAAACTATCTCTTTTTATACTTTAATACAGAATATAAGCTTTCCCTTCATCTTTCTCTCCTGCATTTGTGACTAGGCAAACAATCTCTTACATGTTCTCATAGTTCAGTCAAAACATACAACAGAGTAGGATTGGTTCTGTTGTAAACCGAATGAGCAAATCAGTAATTTGCATCACAAATCTCCCTGCAGAATCTTGGAATATATCAGGGCTGGCTGGCAGAGATGTAGCACTTGTTTGGATTTAAATATGATGGGTCTGCATTTTGGATCATGCCTAGTCATTCTCTTGGTTATGTTTTACATGTTCTTTTATTGGGTTTAGCATGATTTCAAATGTGATTGTGAAAAGGTGGTTTTAACTTTTGTGCCTTGTTTTAACTTTCCCATTGGTACAATGCTATGACACTATTTGTTGCCGTAAAATAGAATGGCTTGAAAGACTAGAGAGCCAGTGGCTGCATTTAAAGTTAAGTTCTTAGTTTCAGAAAGGTATAAAATATCTACTTCCCTCAGAATCCAACCTCTGCTATGAGTGTATAGGATTATTTTTCTTCTTCAATGATCCCTCCTTAGTTGCACACTCCTGTCTCTCACAGATTATTTGGAGTCTGAAGAGTGACCTGTTTGGGGCAGTGGAGTAGAAAGTAAACACTGATTTGGTGGCTCCGATTATCTCCAGCCCTAGCCATACCCATAGCAGTGACCTAGGTTTATATCATTTGCTCTTTATGGTTTTTAGAGATGTCGAGAATCTAAATCACAGAATCTTTCCTTGACATTCAGTACTGCCTCAGTTGTCGCCCAGTTCTGAAGGTTATTTTAATGAGTGTTCATGGTGAGTTTTGAAGAGTTGATTGAACAGATAAATATTTAGCTCATCATAATAACGAGTCAATATATATTCAACAAATGTTACGTTGGAATATTTCTTTACTTTTTAAAACAATAACTTGAAGGTTCTCCCAGACTTTTTTTTTTTAAAGGAATCTCCTCTTATTTACTTATTTGTTCAAAGATAAAGCATTCTGGTAATTTTTTTAAAGCCTTATTTTGATTTTAATGATCATCAGTATTGGTTTCTGCTTAAAACAGCTTCTAGAAACCACAGAATTTTATACTACTCATAACTGAAGGTGTGAGTAGAAAAACTAAGAGACTGATTTTGTATGATTTGTGTAATCTCATTACTTTGTATTTATGCTTTCCATCTCAGTTGGACTCTTTAAAAAAAAAACACCTCAATTTCACATTCAGGAACTTCCTTAAAGGGACCTTACTCTGAAAAGAAGTTCTGTTGGGTAAAAGGAAAGGTTTGAGGCAGGAATAGTCAGCTCTGGTCACAATTCAATCAGTCATTGGGCTGATGAGCTATGACATGAAGCGATAGCCTCTCTGAGACATGGAACATGAAATATGAAACAGTCTCTGTGTTTGGAAAAGATGCCCTTGTGCCGTATTGGGGAAAGCGTTATTCCTTTGTCACAGAGGTCTTCTCACCCAAGTACATCAACAGATTCACCCCAGAGCTTGCTCGATCTTTCACCACTGGGAAACTTCTCTTACAGCATCAGCCCTTCCTCATTTTCAGTAGAGATGTGCTGGGTAAGAGGTCACTTAATATTGAAATAAGAAAGTAGACTCAATCAAAGATCTTAAGCTTAGAATACTTAAAGCAGCACCGTGAAATCTCACGTATTTGAACACATCTTGTGAAACTCAGATAGGATTTGGCAGGTAGAAGCAGAATTGATAAAACTGTTTTAGAATGACATGTATATATAATATCATGTAATATCATGTATATATAATATATACATGATAAGTATATATTATATGTGCATGACCTTTAGGAAAACCCAGTGCTCGTGTCAAGTAGTCAACGGATTGCCAGGTCTTCAAAATGAGAGACATCTCCTTTCCTAGAACATGTGGTAGAGTTCTTACCTACCAAGGGTCTGGGAAGCCCATAAGCTATTTATCGCTATTTATCATGATTTATCACCAGCAGATCTGAGCCTTAAATTCTCACATTGAGGTAAACTAGGACAGAAACTTGGAAAGAAAGGAGAACTTTTCATTTGTCGGTTCTATCAGAGAGGCCGTGTCCTCTGAGAAGCTGCTGTGGATGTAGTAAATGCCCAAGTGGTTAAAATGTGACTTTACAATAGTATTCTATGAGCGCCATATCATCTACTGGTAATTTTATGGCTTTCCATTTCATCCAGCCATAAGAAAGCAAATCAAACCTGTCGGGCCATTTACCACCTCAAGTGATAGCGAGGAACATTTTTAAAAACATGAGGTAAATCTAAATCCTCATTTTCATTGTTTTATTATTTCTTGAGGTTGAATTGATATTTGAATAAAACAGTTGTGCCCTTCCTTTTTCAACCCAAGTTAAGTAGGAAAAACCAAGAGTCTATGAAGCCTTCCGACCCATAAAACTATTACCCTACCAGTGTCCTTTTAGCTGCTGAACTACTCTTTTAGGGCTCATGTACACAAAACCATTACTAAAGCATGTAGCGTTTCCTATATAGTGCCTGGAGCTTGAATCTAATTAGCATTGCAGAGTCTGGCTTTCGCCGTTTCCTCTCAGGGTTACATGTGTGACTAAGTTTTCCAGATGAATCACAGGGCATTGTGTGTAGAAATCTTGATCCATTTCCTATTTTTCCCTGTTGGTTAAATGGTAAGGTTGAAATATGCCCCATTTGAATTGTTTTTGGAAAACTGAACAAATTTGTAACCCGTACGAAAATCTAAGTCAACAGAATGTATTTTTCTTAAAAAGCACTCACTGAAATTGCCCTCAGGATGAAATGAAGCCCAGATATGCAGTTCGTGACTTAACATATCGGTTCTCTGTATGTCTGCCTGTGTCTCCGTATGTCTGTATGTGTATGGCTCTCTGGATATCATTGAGTAAGTAAGCTAAAACAAATGACACTTTGACATCTTTATGATAAATCTTAAATGTTAACACACATTTCAAATCCATCCTTATATCACTAGAAAATATCTAGCGATATAAGTTTCTTAATTTCAGATTTAACTTCATCATTCTAGCCTCTTAAAGAGATTTAATGCATTTTAATTATTTTCATATTTCATAGAAACGGAAGTCAGTGTTTGCTGCAAACTGAATGCTCATGCTACCTGAAATAATACTTTGGAGTGCAGGACAGTGTTGATTCTTAAGTAGATTGACTATAATCTCATGATAAGTATATATTATATGTGCATGAAAAAACACATTCAGTAATAGTCTCTGTTTAAAAGCTATCACGGTATACATTTTCCAATGTGGTGCTTGAGGAGTTTCATTCTACAGTTTACAAGGTGTAGGTTTGCACCCCAAATTCTCAGGGTATGCTGTTTTACCCAAATACTTGAAAGAAAAAGGTGCCCTGTATTTTATCAGTACTGTTGAGGGGAAAAATTATGTGTAGGTTTGTTTTACAAAACTACTTATAAAAATCAACTTCACAAATTGTGTTAGACTTTTACATAATTCCTAAGGAAGTATACATATAGATATGATACATATTTTCAAGAGACTGTTTCTATATTCTTAACTAACTTCTGGGTCCTAAGTAGACCTCACAGGTGCATAAAATCATTAATAAAGCATGTAGCATTTGCTAAATCATACCTTGAGCTTGAATCTAATTGGAATTGCAGACTCTGGTCCTTGGGGGGAAAAAAAGTGTCCGTCTATGTCACATGTCATTACAAGGCCCAGGGGAGGATTCTGAAAATTGGACTCATTTGTATGCCCCTTGTCTCAGAAGAGAACTAAATGTTCACAGTAGCATTTGTAAGCTGTTAACATTCTTGTTTTATGCTGCAGCTAGAGCATATTATTAGTTATTTTCCTATTTGATTCATAATGGTGCAGAATAAAACATACACACACAACATGTCGAATTTGATTTCTTTTTTAAAGTTTCCTACTTGCTTTTTATAAGCTGGTATTAATGGCAAAAAGTGCTATCCAGGGCTCCCTGAAATTACTTATCATCCCTGTATCTTTTTCTAGCAGGTGGTCCTTTCTTTTTCTCCCCCTTTGAAGATGTAGGTTTCTATATTTACATTGAAGTCATCTTATTGTACAGTAAAGACAGTGATGGTTGAAGAGAATGTGAAGACTGAGGAAGTTAGGTCCCAAACAGAGGAGAGTAAATTGTGTGGTAAATGGAGAAAGACATTGGATAACGCTGAATTATACCCCTGACTATGAAAAAAGCCAGTGGGAAATGGAAAGAACATGAATATTTAAACTGCTCTCAAGATAGAAATCTTGGTGGAAGAGTTCCTACTTGAGGTCTGATGTGATTCAATTATGGAATGCAGTGAGCTTTGCCACTGTGACTGTGAATCCAGCCCAAAAGCTCTGAGAATTACTTTGTCAGTGGATTGCATGTGGAGAAAACTACTTAGACAAGGACTCTGTGAGACTGACTAGCTTACTTACCTTTAATTGCCAGCATTTGTGATTGTGCGATCTTGTGTAATGGTCTTTTATTTTGACTCTTTTTGAAAAAAAAAAATGTGTTGTTGTTGTTGTTTTTCCAGTAAAAGTAAATGCAAAGAAAACATGCATTCTTTCTCTTTATTTTAACTCAGAAAAAAGCTTTGGACATTTTCATTTTCTTCTGTCTTCTAACTTAAATCCTTCCTTTAACTAAAATACTCTATTATAATGTTTCACATCCAGGTTGTATTAGTTTCTCTTGCTGTGGGAACCACAAACTTAGTGGCTTAAGACAACACAAATTTATTATTTTACAGTTCTGGAGGTCAGAGTCTGGTATGGTCTTTCCCTGTACCCGGAGTATTTCACCTGATCAACCGAAGGTATCTAACTGCTTACATTTTTAAGTAGCATTGTGAGGGGCACCTACCAACTTGAGAGATGCTCCATTGACACCAAAGAGCAACCCAGACAACGAGTGTCCCTGAGGGTCCACACTGAGGCCCAGCAGAGTAATTGTGGTCTGGCCCCTTCAAAACCTAAATATCTGAAGCACACATTTGGAGACTCACTGCACAGGATCAGTACTGTAAAATGTCAAGCACTAGTTGAAGTCACTAGAAACCTTAAGATTGAAGCCCCCAAGAGACTTGAAACCACATTCCACATGAACATACAGATCCAGAATCCCTTACATATGTCCAGGGTGTGGGGGTTGTAGGGCAAGAAATTGAGTTGAGGGCTGTTCTAGGCCTTGTATTTTCCTGACTCACCTCTGGCTTCCAGCTCTTGTTTCCAGTGAATTCTCAAATTCCATTCTTCCATTTTGCCTCAAGTGTGCATTCCTTTACTCTGCATTGCATTGCCCCAGCAGGCTTCATTGCAGGACACCCATCCCGTCCTGAGTATTCCAGACTTGAGACTGTATATGTGTGTCAGGGTTTTGCCGAAGGCTTAGGGTACATGGGATGGAGATTAGCAGGTGCTTCACCTGAAGCAGCCAGCTGCATTAGCAAACACCTTAAACCTGAGCACTGGCATCCCTGTTCTTATACAGTCCCCTGCCATCTCTGGCACTAGGTAATTTTGCTGGTTGTTGAGTTCATTTGTGCTTTAGCCATCCTGCCTATGGCTAGGACCCTCTCCCTCTCTTCATCCTCTGCTTCCTCTGCTCCTTAGCTTGCTGGCTCAGAATCCTCTAATTTCCTATTATTTCTTTTCTTTTTTTTTTTTTTGTTTGTTTTTTGTTTTTTGCGGTACGCGGGCCTCTCACTGTTGTGGCCTCTCCCGTTGTGGAGCACAGGCTCCGGACGCACAGGCTCAGCTGCCATGGCTCACGGGCCCAGCCGCTGCGAGTCATGTGGGATCTTCCCGGACTGGGGCACGAACCTGCGTCCCCTGCATCGGCAGGCGGACTCTCAACCACTGCGCCACCAGGGAAGCCCCCTATTATTTCTTATATAGAGCAATTTAACCACCTAACAAAGCCCTACTAAAGCAGATCCACGGCACTATGTCCAGAACCATTGCTCTAGTTATGTAGCTGAGTAACAATCCACCCCAAAACTTAATGGCTTAAAAAACACAAAAATCATTTGTTTAACTTGTGAGTCTGCAAATTGGGCAGAGCTCGGCATGGAAGTTTTGGCTCTGCTTCAGAAGGCAGCCTGACTTCCAGGGACAATCTACTCACATGACTAGAGAGCTGATGATAGCTATCAGCTGAGAGTTCAGTTGGAGCCAGCCGAGGGCCTCAG